TCTTCCTGAGCCTCAGTTTCTTTATCTGTAAGATGGGGATGATAATAGTTCATTATTGCACAAAGGTTAGGGAAAATAGGATCTGTAAAATGTTTAGCCTAGGGCCTCCCATAAAAAGTTCTAAAAATGTTCTATTATTAATAGTATTACAATTATTATCTCCTTTAATATTTTAGTGCATTTTCCTGCTTTTGCACATGCCATTGTCTTATACAGTTAGATAATAACATATATGCAATTGAGCATCCAGGGTTTTTTCACTTAGCATTACCCCGAAAATATTTTCACATTTTACTATTTTTTTCAAAAACATGATTTTCATGCCTGTGCACCATAATTGATGAATCATTTCCTTTTTGAGGATGCTTTGGTAGTTTCCAGTTTTCCTCTATTAAAACGAACCCTGTGGGCGCGAAGGGTTAAGACACAGCATTATGAAGTTACCAATAGCCACTGCAGTTCGATCCCAGGCCAGGGAGGTGACCCACATGGCACAGCAGACCTCTCCTGACTGGCCCACTGCTCCCCTCAGCAATGTATTTCAGTTGATCTGCCTGTTCTGTTCCCCACTTTCTCTGGTAAATCCCCCACACCCCCCACACCTTTGGCCTGTACCCCAGTTCTTGTATGCATAAATAATAAATCTTTAAAAATAAATAAATAAAAACAATAAATAAATAAAAAGAACTCTGCCCTGAACTTATTTGTGCCATTGCCCATGTTTCATCTTTCTCTTAGATCGCTTAGGTCTTGTGACCAGGCTTCACCATCAAACTGGAAGTTCATCAAGAGCACAGCCTGCATTTCATCATCAGACTGGATGATTTCCTAGAGCAATGATGTCTTCCCCCATTCAGAAAAGGCCACAGGCTGGAGTCAAACTCTTAGGCATGGTTGACCCCCTTTGCTTAGCCTGCCCAGAAGGCCTCTCCTCTGAGAATAGTCTCTCCTACTTTCAAAGGCCATGCAGACCCTAGAGACAGGGCCACATGGGTGACCTACACTCAGCCATCAGTCTCTCCCTTGGGAATCTAACCTGGTGGTAGATTGACATCAGGAAAAAAAAGTGTTGCTTAGTCAGCTCTCAGGAAACACTGCATGAAGTCCTGCTACTGAGAGCTTTAGCGTCTTCCCTGTCTCCCCTCCTTCCTAAGAGAGCCCTTCCTAGTCCTTCTTCAATTCTGTGACCCACTCAATATCCCTCCATTACCTTCCCTTTTGCTTCCATTAGCCATTGTAGGTTTTGGCTATTAGCATAAAGGAGCCGTAACTGATCCAAATATTGGCTCCAGAAAAGGGGCTTCAGGTGCCCAGGATCAGGCAAAAGGTTCTGGAATTCTTGTTTACGTTTGAAATTGGAGAAACAGCAGGCCAACATTCATAGATGAGAAACAGCTAATCAAATTATCAGCTGCAAACAACAGGGATTATGTACCCTCTGTTGGGATTATGTACCCAACAGGGTCAAGCTCTGGGGAACTGAATGACTTTGGCCATAGACAGACTTTAAAGAATGAATAAATCAGGAGGCCTCCCCAGTGGTGCAGCGGGTTGAGCACAGCACTGTGAAGCTGTCCACAGCCTCTGCGGCATGGGTTCGATTTCCGGCCGGCCAGAGAGATTCCTACACGGCTTGGCGGACCGCTCCTGCCTCGCCCGCTGCTCCCCTCAGCAGTACTTTCAGTCTGTCTGCCTGTTCTGCTCCCCGCTCTGTCTCTGATGATTCCTCTCACCCCTCCCACACCTCTGGCCTGTACCCCAGTTATTGTACAAATAAAAAAAATAAATCTTTAAATAAAAAAATGAATGAATAAATCAGAAACACACAGTAGGGTGGCTGCTTATAAAAGCAGTGAATAATGTCAAGCAGACAATCTTGAATGTCTAGTTTACTGATTCAAGGAATAAGATGAACTTCAAAACCTTTTTGTGATATGGCTCAAACAATCTGTTAAGGCTAGTTGCTACAGGCCATAGGGCCACTGAGATGACATTGGGAAGTATGGGTGTATTAACCTGCAAGACCTCACACCCATGCCATGTTCCTGGATGGTTCGATCAAATCACCTCAGGAACTGGTAGAATCTTCACCTTGGCCCCCTGATCCTCGAGCTAAACATTAATACGGGAAGAGCACAGTCAAAGCTTTGGATGCTCCCTCTCATTCTCTAAAATAATAATTCAAAATCAGTATTTTGTCCCTGGGAAAGCAGTAAAATTAGTAACTAGCAATGCCTGGAAGGATGCAGGGGAAGTGATCCCTATGTCTTGTGGTATTTGTGACATTTGTGGCATTTGTGGTATTTGTAACTGTCCTTAAGACCTTATTTCCAGTTAACAGGAGCAAAGATGGGCTCATTTGCTATCACAGTCAACAGGGGCCTGCCCATGTTGGGTGCGCATCCCATACACCAAGAGGCCTGACAGCACCCCAAACCCCACCATCCCAGGTGGTAGGAGTTAACCAGGAAGAATTTTACTCCTTTTATTTGTTTTTTAATTGAGGTAAAGTACCTACATTACATACAGAAAATGATAAAATATTAAACACAGCACTAGAATTTTTATGTATGTCACCAACACCCCACATCAAGATTTAGAACAATTCCATCACTCCAGAAGGCTCCCTCCTGCCCTGTCCCAATCAGTATCTTTCCCAGGGGTAAACCTGACAGACTTATCACCATGGGTTTGTTTTGCCTCCTCTTGAACTTCATGTGAATGGAATCACACAGCCTATTCTTTGCTTTGCTCAGGCAACATTATGCCTATGAGATTAATTTATATGATTACACATGGGAACCAGAAATCAGCTCGTTTTGAAGAGGGGAACTCCAAAGCAAAACACTCTTTAGACTGGAAAAGGTGTGATTAAACCTTCAAAGGTTTTGTTACAAAAAGTACTTAAATCTTGCTCACATTTTGGAAGCACTTACATGGTCAATATTCTCTTTGTTATATATACTCTTCATTTGTAAGAGAGAAAAACTCCTTTCTTCTCTGGAAGCTGATTGTGACTAGGACTAAAGCACTTCATGGTTCTGATAAGGGCTGGTGGGGGAGGGGAGTGGCTAGGACACTTGCGTGATACAGTGAGAAACCTGCACACACACGTTGCTTATGGCCTGTCTACTCTGAGTTAATTTTCCAGCCAATGGACACATCTGCAGGAGTGTGAGGAGCCAGTGCTATGGGAAGACCAGACTCTGCACACTAGGACACACCTGAGGCAGGGTATCTAGAGAAGTGATGAGGAGCTCTGGGGGTGGGGGTGGATATCATGGGCTCCTGGCAAAGGTGAAGGCCTGCTCACTGCTGAACAACTGTCTTTGTTCAACTCACTATAAAAAGCCCGCTAAAAATGAAAGGTTAAGGCAGTTTCTTCTAGTTGTTACCCCCTCATCATCCAGATTGCTGGCTGTCTGATTAAAGCACACTTTAAAGATTCAATTCTGTCTCTACTTCATTGACTTTTTTTTTTTTTAAAGATTTATTTATTTATTTATACAAGCACTGGGTACAGTCAGAAGCGCGGGAGGGTGAGAGAATTCACCAGAGCCAGAGCGGGGAGCAGAGCAGCCAGAAGGACCGAAGTACACTGCTGAGGGGAGCAGCGGGCGGCAGGAGAGGTCTGCGCGCCATGTGAGACCTCCTCCGTGGCCAGGGAGCAGCCGGGGATCGAACCGGCGCCACGGAGGTGGCGGGCAGCTTCGGAACCCAGTGCTCAACCGCTGCGCCACCGGGGAGGCCCTACTTCATTGACTTTTGGTGGTGACATGTGGCCTGAACTCTGGTCTTCACTGATGGAAACAGTTCCTTCCGTTACTCTTTCCCAGCTCCTAATCTTCATTTGTAAGAAGGGAAAGGAATTTACACACACACACACACACACACACCCTTCCTTTGGTTCAGCTTCCAGGAGTATTGGAGGTGGGAGGGAGAAAATGAGGAGAAAAGGAGGGGCCAGGATGTGCTCATGGAGAAAAGTGGTTTTAAACACTGGATTCCATAAAAATAAGAGAGAATAGTGTTCATTTATCAATGGTATTTCTTTGTCTTGGAATTGAGTGAGTTTCTCTTATTTTGAGAGTTTTCTGGAACCTCCTCCAGCTGTAGAGTGGAGTAGAGTAAGGGTGAGAGCAAGGGGGTGATCTTACACTGGCTGAGCACCTACAATATGCCAGACACTCCCACATACCTTGTTTTATTTAGGTCTGAAGTGCCTGAGTGAACAGGCTTGTGGAGCTCACGAAATTTAAATAACTTGTCCAAGGTCAGATAGCTAGTCAGTGCTGAGTTTTGAAGCCAAGTTTGACTGGATCAAAGCCATGCTGGAGGCAACCCAGTCTGGGGCCTTCAAAGGGGGCCTCACTTCCACCTCCGGGACCGGATGGAGTTCCTGGCACAGCCACCAGTCCTTCAGGAAACCTGCTGGGGTCCCACACCTGAGCACACTCAGCTGTGTCTTTCCCAGCTTCCAGCCCCTAGGTCACCCAAAGCCTCACAAGACTCCTCATTCTCAGCCAAGACTAACAAATGCTCACATCCTAGGTGCCTCTCTCGTCCTCCTAGCCACAGCACTGCCAAGAAGCTCTGGGCACTGGGAGTAAATAACAACAGAAAAGACAACAGTAGCTAATGCTTACATACTGCTTACATGCGCGAGCCTCTGGTGAGATACATATATATAAATAAATATATATATATGTGTGTGTCTATATGCACATGCCTATATATCACACATATGGAACATATTAATGTTAATTCACTTAACCTTCAAAATTCTTGAAATTATCCTCAAATGACAGATACAGAGGCTCAGAACAGATGAATTGTCCAGCTATTAACTTGTTCCAGAATCCACACTCTTTAACCATGATGCAACATTGCCCCACACACATATAAACATACATGCACAAAAGTACTGGGTGCCCAGCTGCCGCTCAGCCACCTTATCAGGACACCCTCCTCACCCCCCGCACCCCCCCAACCCCCAGCAGATTGGCCACAGCTGGCGTCTGCTCACGGTAGGCACTAAAGATAGGGAAGGTGGGTCACACGTGGACAGGGCCTCTTTTATAGCCCCACCACCCCAGTTGGCTCTGCCTTCCACCACCTGACCTTCTGCCTGCTGCCTACACGAGCTGTGCACACTCATCATGGAGAAGATCCTGGTCCTTCTGCTTGTCACTGTCCTCGCAGTGGCCTATGCTGTTCCTGACCCCCGAGGCATCATTGTCAACCTGGTAAGAATTTCTTCAGGGGAGGAGTCACCTCAGCCCCCAGGCAGGGTATCCTCCCTCTCCCACCTCCCCCACCCCAATTCCAGGACTGCTTTTCTGGCACTACACTGCCCACTTCTCAGGTGGGTGGGGGGCTGGAGTGGGCAGAGAGGCCCCTAGGCCCAGGGTGGGAGTCCTTCACACACGCCACCACCAGGGGAGGCGCTGTCAGCATGGCGGGCTGTGGGTGAGGTCTGCGGAGAGAAGCGCCCTGGGCTGACTGGCTGCTCCGGCAGGACGAGGGAGAGCTCTGCCTGAACAGCATGCAGTGCAAGAGCCGCTGCTGCCATCGTGATACCGGAATGAGCCTGGCCCGCTGCGCACCCAAGGCCAGCGAGAACAGCGAGTGCTCTGCCAAGGTGGGTGCGGAGGAGTTGTGCGGGCGGGGGGGGGGGGCGGGGGGCTGTGGGGGAGGGACAGCGCCCAGAAGGAACGCTCCCTTGAGGCTTCCAGCTGGGGTCAGGGAGAGTTTCACTCTGCACCCTCAGAGATGAAAAGCGGAACATCGACAGGTTTCCCAGCACTGTCCTAACCTGGCCAGTGAAATGCATGGAGGCAGGGAGTGGTATCCCTATTTTACGGCGGGTAAATAGAGGCTTCCCAGAGATCGAGTTAGTGCAAGTGAGCAAAGGACTGGAGACCAGGCCTGGCCCACAGCGCCCCCTGCTGGGGCCGTCGGGAGAAGCACCGCTGAAAAGACAAGCTGGGCGGGCGGAGTGTCAGGTCAGGCCGGAGAGAGACGCCCAAGCAGCCCCCACAGCCTGCGAGTGCTCTGGTTCCCTGTCTCCGCAGACACTCTATGGGGTTTACTACAAGTGTCCCTGTGAGCGGGGCCTGACCTGTGAGGTGGACAAGACCATTGTGGGCTCCATCACCAACACTAACTTTGGTACCTGCCTTGATGCTGGCCGTCGCTCCAGGGAGTGAGACCATCCTGCACCCAGCCCGGCACATCGCAGGACGCTCCTCCTCCACTGCCCCCGACTGCTCACCCCCTTGACCAGAGCCTCTGTTTTCTGATTGGGTTCTTGGTGATTAAAGCCTATCCTGCAAACCTTCCCCAGGCTCCTGGGTGTTCTTGCTAAATCAGTGTTTTCCTTACGGTCATCTCAAAGGATGTGTTTGGGACCAGGCAGGATGAGACTGGACAGACTGGAGACAAGATTGCAAAGCAAGGACACTCTGGCTGGGAATGTCTCCTTTTCCTGGGAAGTAATCACACCTCCCTGAGCTGTGTCCTGGAGTTCTCAGACAGACAGGGGTATAGGCACACAACACACAAGCACACACACTGTTCTGAGCTGTCAGAGCTGACAGCTAGCTGACATGACCCCTGTGTTAAGGTGTCAGATGACTAACAATTGCCATGGACTTGCTTTGTGTTAGAAAATGATCCTAGGAGAAAATTTATTTTATCAATAAATTATATGTATTTGTTTTATTTTAAAAAGTTACAAAATTTTCTATAAATATTATTATTTTTATAGATTTATTTATTTATACAAGAACTGGGGTACAGGCCAGAGGCATGGGAGGGTGGGAAAATCCACGAGAGACAGAACAGGGAGCAGAACAGGCAGGACAGAAATACACTGCTGAGGGGAGAAGCAGGCACGACAGGAGCGTTCTGTCATGCCATGTGGGTTTCTCCCTGGCCGGCTGGGTGGGAAGAACAGAACAGGCGCTGTAGAAGCTGCATGCAGCTTCACAGGGCTGCGCTCAACTTGCTGCGCCACCGGGGAGGCCCAAAATTTTCTATAAATGAAAGAATCAGAGAGGTTAAACAACTTACCCAAATGTCACATCATGAGAAAAAGCTGACACCTCACCCCATACTTTTGCTATCATTCCCTGTTCTTACTCAAATTTCCATACTGACAAATAAGTGAATTTTAGGGAATTCGTTTGGGTTTAATATAAGAAATATAATACCCCCTGGAGCCTTCAAACCTCGATTACCTTAAGCCTGAGGTCCTTGTCACTGAGATATGCAAGTGAAGATTCACTAATCCCTTGGTGGGAATTCTGGAGAGAGGCTCACACAAAGTTTGGAGGACCTTGAACTCAATGAAATTATGATGGTTCTCCCAGCCTGGGGAGTTTATAGTTCCAAGATCAACAAATCCTTTCATAATCGTTAGGTTTATGAGTTAGGACTGGATTCAGCTCTAAGTAACAAAAAAATCCAAAGCAAATATGGCTTAAATAAATAGGAGTCTATATTGGAGTCTAAATTTCTCATGAATGCAGAAGTCCAGAGATAGGAAGTGCTGGCATTTGTTTGGATGCTGGCAGATCGGCATTTGCCTTGGTCTTCTTTCGTCACTGGACGAATGCCTTCATAGTGGCTGCTTATACCATATCATCACAACCACCTAATACCACTTGCTAATGCGATAGTTAAGCCAAAGATTACACAGTCCTGTAATAAATATGTAGGTCAAGAAAGAGTAGCCTAACAGATAGAGGGTTTTGAGGGCAGTGGGTTGTCCCCACCAGACAATTGCCTTTTGTCCTTAAATAATAGAACCCCCAATCTTTGTAGTTTCCCACATGGATGCCCAGGTGAAAACTACATTTCCCAGTCTCCCTTGCAGCTAATTGCAGCCATGTGACAAATTTTGCCCAATGGAATGGAAGTGAAAATCAGGCCATGGCTTGGTCTTTTAGGAAGGGTGAAGCATTTGCTATTGCTCTACCTCCTTTCTTCCAACTGGAATGTAAACCCAACAGATATGGTGATGAGTCATCTATGACTATATGGTGTAAAGAAACATCTTAAGGGCCTCCCCTGGTGGCACAGTGGTTGAGCGCTGGGCTGCGAAGCTGCCCACAGCCTCTGCAGCACTGGTTCAATCCCCGGCTGCCTGCGAGGGTCCCACATGGAGTGCAGACCTCTCCTGACGCACCTGCTGCTCCCCTCAGCAGTGTACTTCGTCAGTCTGCCTGTTCTGTTCCCCGCTCTGGCTCTGGTGAATTCTCTCACCCTCCTGCGCTTCTGACTATACCCAGTGCTTGTATAAATAAATAAATAAATAAATAAATCTTTTAAAGAAAAAGAAAAAAAGAAACATCTTAAGGCAGAGCTTCCCAATTGGTATCTGGAGGAATCCCCTCTACTCTCAGGAAGGCCTCTTTGGGGTCCCAAAGCTCTTCTACTTTTACCCCCAAGGTGCAAATACAGATATGTTTCTGTGTGCTGTGTTGTAAAAAATTATTAAGTAATTTTTAAAAAGAAACAGAGCAGCAGATGGCTGAGCAAGGTAACAGGAAGCAGTGGGGGCATGGACAACTTCACTCAGCAGAGCCTGCTTCCAGCCTCCAACTATCATGTGAGAGAGAACTCATCTACTTGCTTAAACCATCAAGAGAGTAGGTTTTCATTCATGTAGCTATAATCTTGTATCCTAAAGAATATAGATGGGGTTAAGCACAGCACTATGAACTTATCTGCAGCCTCTGAAGCATGAATTTGATCCCTGCCCAGGGAGCTACCCACATGGCGCAGCAGACCTCTCCTGGCTTGCCTGCTGCTCTCCTTTATTTATACAAGCACAGGGCCTCCCTGGTGGTGCAAGGGGTTAAGACGCACGCAACCTATGAAGCTATCCACAGTCTCTGCAGCACAAGTTCGATCCCTAGCCAGCCAGGGAGCAATCCACATGGTGCGACAGACCTCTCCTGACTTGCCCACTGCTCCCCTCAGCAGTGTACTTTGGTCAGTCTGCCTGTTCTGTTCCCAACTCTGTCTCTGGTGAATCCTCTCACCCGCCACACACACACCTCTGGCCCGTACCCCAGTTCTTGTATGCATAAATAAATAAATCTTTAAAAAAAAAAAACATTTTGCCCTGGAATATACAAATGTTCAAAAATCTTAGCTGTTTTCAGAAGGCGATACCTGGAACTTGGAATTCAGCCTAAGGCTCACGGGGCTGCTGGATCCAGCCAGACCTGAGGCCTGCCCTGCTTCTGGACTTCCAGTTCTAACCACCAATAAATTCTCTCATTATTTACAACAGTTTGGGATAGTTTTTTCTTTTTTTTTTTTTTAAGATTGATTGATTGATTGATTGATTGATTGATTTATACAAGCGCTGGGTCCTGGAGGGTGAGAGGATTCACCAGAGCCAGAGCAGGGAACAGGACAAGCAGACTGAGGAAATACACTGCTGAGGGAAGCAGCGGGAGTTAGGAGAGGTCTGCGTGCCATGTGGGACCCTTGCCCACAAGGCGGGGATCGAACTGACGCTGCAGAGGCTGGTGCAGCTTGGCAACCCAGCACTCAACCACTGCGCCACTGGGGAGGCCCTGGGATACTTTTTTACACAAAGAATTCTCACTGTTACCCTCATAATGTGACCTTGTAGCTCTCTAAGCTTCAGTTTCTTTTTCTTTTTCTTTCTTCTTTCTTTCTTTTTTTTTTTTTTTTTTTTTGTTGGATCCTCGCTGGTGGCCAGGGATCGAACTGGCGCTGCAGAGGCTGCAGGCAGCCTTGCAACCCAGCACTCAACTGCTGCGCCACCAGGGGAGGCCCTAAGCTTCAGTTTCTTTATCCCTAAAATGGGACTGGTAATATACGACACATAGGAGATAGCAATGCATCAGGCCCATTTCCCAGTACAGTTACAGTTTTGCATTTATACTTCACATACATGCTCACAAACACTCTCCAAATGACCTCTACCCTTTTGCTCTCCTCCCAAAGCAAACACCTCCTCTCAGTCTCCTCCCACATACCTATCCACCAGCACCCTAACATCCGCTTTCTAAGCTCATTCCTCATCCTTGCCCCTCCCACACAGCCTTCCATCCCAAGACGTGGGCCTTGCTTGCTCTCACCCATATCCCTTTCTTGCAATTCTTCCCTGAGCTCACCATGCCTTCACAATAAGGCCAATCCCCATGGGAAGCTCTGTGATGCCTCCAACCTCCCCTTTTGACCCACTCTGCTCTCTGCAGAGGGGGAATAATCCCTATCAGGGGGGAATAATCCCTATCAGGGGGGAATAATCCCTATCCCAAGAAGTGCAGACAGAGGCCAGAGTCAGAAAGTGACTTTAATGTATCAGGAGCTAGATTTCGAGCACGATGAGGACACAAGGCCTCTGGCTGCAAGGGAGAGTGGAAGGAGTGGCAGTGAACAGCCTGCATCCTCTACATCAAGTAGCACCGGCGGGCACAGTTCACATCCCTGGATATGCAATTCAAACCCCCTCGGCAGGGACATAGGATGTTGATGGCTCCCTTGGTCTGTAGGGAATAGGTACGAGAGTTGCAGGTCACCAAGGTGCAGGGAAGAAAGGCATTTAAACTTCTTGGGGAGGGCCTCCCTGGTGGCACAAGGAGTTAGGACACAGCACTATGAAGCTATCCACAGCTACTGCAGCAGGAGTTTGAACCCCCGGCTTGGCAGAGAGCTACCCACATGGTGCAGCAGACCCCTCCCGTCTCACTTGCTGCTCCCCTCAGCAGTGTATTTCAGTCAGTCTGCATGTTCTGTTCCCCACTCTGTCTCTGATGAATCTTCTTCCCCCACCCTGGCCCCTCATCTCTGGCCTGCACCCCAACTCTTGTATGCATAAATAAATATTTAAAAAAAAAAACTTCTTGGAGAGCAGGAGCAAGAGCAAGAGCACAACAGACGGAGTGAGAGAGACCTGGGATCTCTCAGCCCTCCAGTTTATAAGGCCATGACCTTAAGCAAGTTAAGGAGCTTCTCTGTTTTCAAATGGGGATAATAATTGTAGCCTATCTCATGGGGTGAGGGTTAGATGAGATCAAGTAGATCAGATGCCCCAAGTGAAAAGCCCCTACAGCCACTTCAGTCTAGAGCAGGCCACGGCAGGAGCCTGGCGGCCTCAGTAAGGCACTGGCAGTTGACAGTCTGTCCCTTGCAGAGACGTGGAGGCTAAGTCCATCCTCCCTAGGAAAGTTTGGGCTAAGGGCCAGGTGAGAGAAGACCAGCAGGAGCAGGAATGCTGTGCACTCCCACCAGCCAAGAACAAGCAACCTCAACTGAGCACTGTCTTCGCTTGGACACCTACCCTCCCAGCAATGTGGTAGGGTAAGTTGTTTGGCCCCCCATTTTTTTAAAAGTGAAGAAATGTCATTTTGGTTTGGTTTATTTTTTTTTAAGATTTATTTATGCATAGAAGAACTGGGGTGTAGGCCAGAGGTGGGGGGAGGGTGAGAGAGCTCACCAGAGACAGAGTGGGGAACAGAACAGGCAGATTTTATTGAAATACACTGCTGAGGGGAGCAGTGAGCGAGGAGAGGTCTGCTGCGCCATGTGGGTCCGCTCCCTGGCTGGGGATTGAACTCAGGCCATCGTGTTGGGTTTCCCGGTGGGCCTTTGCTGTGGTAGCACTGAGACTTAATCCCTAGGCCACCAGGGATGCCCCATTTCACCCCTTTTATAGCTGAGGAAACAAAGCCTCAGAGAGCCCAAGTGAGCTGTCTGCAGTCATAAAATCAGAGGGTGGAAAAGGCAAGATTTAAATTCAAGCCCGAATCCAAAGCTGTGGTCTTGTCACTGCTGTGCCAGCTTCCTCTCAAAAATGGTAGGTCATCGTGGCTGGGAGGTAGGGATTGCTAGGGAGAAGGTCTTTTGCCACCTACTTCGCCTCGGTGATGTGAGGGGAAAGAGATATTCATTCAATAGATATTTGTTGAGCATCTACTGAGTGCAGGTGCTAATCTGGGTTCAGATGAATATGCTGCAGTCTGATCCTGGCAGGCAGAGGGCTCCAAGCGGCAGGCTGCTGCTAATGAGGAGATTAGCACATGGCAGGCCTGGCTAATCCAGGGAGACTCACGCTCTCCTGAGGGTATGAGCCAAGGCTGTGCAAATTCCCTGCGGTTGTTTCCCAGAGGAGGTGGCTGGCCTTGTATTGCAGGATGATTAGGAGTTCGCCAGGTGGAGAATGGGGAAGGGGACTATATGCAGACGTGAGAAAGCAGGTGTGGCCTTTTTTCACCTCCCCCATTCTACTTACCAACAGGGCCCTCCTCCCCACACCGCAGAGCCTCACCTGGGGCAAGCATGGCATGGCTTTTCTTGTCTTGGGGGCACAGAAGTTACGACCGAAGTCCAAGTTCGCGAGGCAACAGTCACTGAGGCACTGAGAGTGGTGGGAGCACCCAGCTCCTACCCGCTGCGGGGAGAAGCCCTGAGTCACCAGGTCTCTAGCAATGCAGCAGAGTTGGGGAGGGTGCCAGCATTGCCAAGGCCCCAGAGATCCAGGAAGAGAAACCAGGAGATGGTCAACCCCAAGTGGCACCACCGCTGCACTCCCACCCTTAGGTGCCCTAAGAGGAGCAGGGGAGTGGAAGGGTGGCGGGCTAGAACTTTCCCCTCTGCCTCTGCCTCACCTTTTGGATGTCCTGCCCCCATTATCTCTGTGGGCCCCAAAGGGCGACCTGTGCTGGCGGATAGGGGCAAATACTCCTAGATCACCCATTAATGGGGAGAGAGGAGTCAGCACTAGGAAGGAGAACCAGAGCAGGTAGGGAAGGCGGGGCGGCAGTGCTGTCATCAAGGGGGCGCAACATAGGGAGAGTGGGGCTTGCTTGTCTTAAGTACACTTTCCTCCACCTCCTGGGCCGCCAGGGAGGTGAAACAGGGCTCTGAAGGCCTTTGGGGAACACAAAGCTTCCTGTCTGGGAACAAACTCCCAATGTGCCGCGGTTCCCACCCCCGCCTCCATTTCTCTCTGAACCCAACCAGCGCCTTCCGGCTACACCCTGAGGCCTCGGCCTCCACCCTCTCCCGCGGTGGAAGGGTCCCAGCACTCCTTCGCTCACCTTCTGACGCCCCTGTTTAAACAGCAGGAACTCGCCCCGGCGGGGGAGCAGGACCCCCAGGAGAAGGAGGAGGCGCACCCAGGCTGTAGCCATGGCCAGATGCAGCAGGGATCTGACGGCGCGCCCTAGAGTGGCAGGATAACCCCCCTTTTCTACCACGGGCTCAGAGACAGCTGGGGGTGGGGTGGCGAGTGAGGGAGTTAATGGTCACAAGCTGCTCCAGAGGGAGGCCGGAAAGGAAAAACAAAAAACAAAGAAACACACAGGCGGAAACTTTCTCCTTTGCAGCCTCCCCAGGCCTCCAGCGGGGGAGAGACGCGCATCAGCGCCCCTGGGAAACCCCGATTCCAGCCTTGGACATAGATTCCTGCCTGGGGTTATTGATCTGAGGGGCCTGTATCTGTATTTCTTACGAATAAAAGCTTAAAAATGTAAAATAAAACTTTGTTTTAAAAAACGACGAAGCCCTCTGCTCCGCCGCCTGCCCTCCGCCGCGCAGCGCCGCCCTCGGACCCGGGACAAGGGGGGTGAGGGGGCCGGGCCGAGGCGCGCTGGTCACGGGGCTGCTTTTAACTGGGCAGAGCGGACCCCGTTACCATCAGTGACCCCCCCTCATCGACCCCAACTACGCCTGTGCGCCCCAGTGGGAGCCACCCCTCCCCACCCCCGCCCCGGGCCGAGTTCCCCCGCAGCCAGGCCAGGAAGGTCCAGCTCCGCCTTCCAGGAGCGAGACCCGCCGCATCCCGGGGGCTGGTGGGTGCTGGTGCCGAGGTGTGGTGGGGCCACGGGTGTCGTCGCTACTTCCAGGTCAGGGCTCCCCTGAAGGCGGGGCCCCAGGGTCGTCCTCTCGGCCCCTTCTGCCGACGCCCGTGTTTGGGGGCGGGAAGCCCCCAGCTCGAGATGTCAGGGCGCCGCCCGCACCGGCCGCCTGGCGCCCGGACACGCTCATCCGCGGCCGCTCTGGCGTCGCGGCCACGGTCTGTGCCGTCGCTGCCCCCCGAAGACCGGGCACGGCCCCCTGGGAAGCTGCGGTGCGGGCCGAGGGCTGCCCGGGGCATCGCCCCCGATTCTGTGGAGCCGCCAAGGCGGTGGGCAAAGTCGCCCCTCAGCTGATGGGGAAGCTCTGGCACCGCCTTCGTGCCGCCCCCTAAAGTGTCGGTTGTGCACCTGACCTGCCGCCGGAGAAAGCCTCCAGGTACGATGACACCAAGAAGGTGGTGAAGCGGGGGTCAGAGGGCACCCTCAAGGGCATTCTGGGTGACACTGAGGACCAGGCTGTGTCCTTCAATTTTAACAGAGACACCCACACCTCCCCCTCCGTGCTGGGGCTGGCGTTGCCCGCGAGGACCACTTTGTCAAGCTCATTTCCTGGTGTGGCAATGAATTTGGCTACAGAACAGGGGGTGGTGGACCTCCTGGGCCACACGGCCTCCAAGGAGTCAGAGGCCCCAGGACCACCAGCCCCCGCAGAACACAGGAGGAAAAGAGGTGCCCTCAGCTGCCAGGGAGGCCTTCCCTTACTCATCCAACACATTGAGATTCTCCTGACCTATCACCTGGAGATGGGGAGGGCCTCAGGGAGTCCTGCCTTGTCATGTGCCATTAGTACACTGCAGCCTCCAGCCAAAAAATAAAAAGTATGGGCCTCCCCGGTGGCGCAGCAGGTTGGCACAGCGCTGTGAAGCTGTCTGCAGCCTCTGCTGCATGGGTTTGATTCCCGGCCAGCCAGGGAGATTCCCACATGGCGCAGCAGACCTCTCCTGTTGCACCTGCTGCTCCCCTCAGCAGTGCTTTCGGTCTGTCTGCTTGTTCTTCTCCCTGCTCTGTCTCTGGTGAATCCTCTCACCCTCCCGCACCACTAGCCTGTACCCCAGCTCTTGTATAAATGAAAAATAAATCTTTAGGGCCTCCCTGGCGGCGCAGCAGTTGGGGCGCTGGGCTGCGAAACTGCCCGCAGTCTCTGCAGCACCGGTTCTATCCCCGGCCGCCGGGCGAGGGTCCCACATGGAGTGCAGACCTCTCCTGCCCCCCGCTGCTCCCCTCAGCAGTGTACTTCGGTCCTTCTGCCTGCTCTGCTCCCCGCTCTGGCTCTGGTGAATTCTCTCACCCTCCCGCGCTTCTGACTGTACCCAGTGCTTGTATAAATAAATAAATAAATCTTTAAAAAAAAAAAAAAGGAAAGAAACCTTCCATTCTGATTATATATTTAAAAAAAGAAAATTAAATCTTTAAAAAAAATAAAAACCATGCAAAACGCATGCTGAGATGAAAATGACTCCTGGTGGATGTGCTGACTCTCCGTGCCCTCCCTTGCTGCACCAAATTGCCCCCACCCCACCCAGCCCCTTATCTTTTGCACCACCTAACCCACCTCTGGGCCTTCTCATACCCCTTGGGCCCAGTCTAGTCATCTGTAAGAATCGGGAGGTAAGATAAGATGAGCCCTAAGACCTAGGCCTCTTCCAGTGCTAAGGAGCCAGTTAATTGTGTAAAAATTTGTAAGTTGTATGGAAGTCAAGGTGTGGGGCAAAGTGAAGGGGAGGAGAGAGGAAAACTAAGGAGGAAGAGAACGGTTATGGGCTGTAGCAATCCCATAACCTGCCTCCTCATGATTTCCCTCTGGAACCACACCACTCTCATCGACTTATCTTTTTTTTTTTTTTAAGATTTATTTATTTATGCATATAAGAACTGGGATTTAAGCCAGAGGTGCAGGGTGGGCGGGTGTGTGAGAGGAGTCACCAGAGACAGAGTGGGGAGCAGAACAGGCAGATCTACTGAAATACACTGCTGAGGGGAGCAGCAGGTGAGACAGGAGAGGTCTGCTGCGCCATATGGGTAGCTCGCTGGCTGGGTGAAGCCAGGTTAAGATCTCCAACACCAGTGGGTGTGGTCGCTGAGCAACCTGCTTTAAGAGCTTGGCCAAAACTCTGCTCTTTGGCCAGTTCTGGAACCTGGCTACTCCAATCTTTTAAGAGCAGAATGAGGGGTCAGTTCAGAGCAGGGGAATGCCTCCTGGGTGAACTCTGTCCCTATCTTTCCCCATTCCCAACCCCCTATCCCTTTACCTTCCCTCCTCTGATGTTGCCCAGTGTCTCTCTTCTTTCCTGCATCTTTCTGTTTTCACTGGTCTACAGCAAAATGGAAACAAAAATCAGGGCAATATGGTGTGTTTGTTAAAAATAAATATATATATTTTTTAATAGCAATAGCATTGGTTTACATTGTTGTTTGTATTTCAAAATTATAGGCTCCCCTACCTTCAGATGTTGTTACCATAACACCCCACCACCGAAACACCCATAGTCCACCACTATAATTCACAGTTCTCCTTCTTGACTTTTTTCTCTCCTTTCCCCTCTCCCCCACCACCCCAATGCCTCAGTTCTGTAGTCAGCTTTCAAATGATAGTTTTTGTCTTTACCTGACCCTTTGTTGGTTTCTCTATATTCCACATATAAGTGCTGCCATCCCGTATTTGTCTTTTTCCTTCTGCCTTATTTTTTTAAAAACTTTATTTTTTTAAGATTTATTTACCTATTTTTATTTATATAATAGCTGGAGTATAGGCCAGAGGCGCAGGAGGGTGACAGGATCCACCAGAGACAGAGTGGAGAGCAGTGCAGGCAGATGGACCAAAGACACTGCTGAGGGGAGCAGCGGGCGAGGCAGGAGAGGTCTGCCCCACCATGTGGGAATCTCCCTGGCCAGCCAGGAATCAAACCCATGCTGCAGAGGCTGTGGACAGCTTCACAGTGCAGCATTCAACCCACTGCACCACCGGGGAGGCCCCCTTTCTGCCTTATTTTGCTTACTGAAATCTCTTCCAGCTTCAACCATGTTGTCACAAATGGTATGATGACTGTATCCTTTTTGATTGCTGAGTAGTATTCCATTGTGTATCTATACCACATCTTGATCCACTTATCTGTTTGGGGGACTTCATTTGTTTTCATGGCTTAACTATTATAAATAGTGCTGCAGCGAACAAAAGACTGTAGGCTTCCTTTTGAATTAGTGTTTTTGTAGTCTTTGGATTTATACCTACGAGTGAAATTGTTGGGTTGTATGGCAGATGATTTTTAATCTTTTGAGAAACATCCATACTGTTTTCTGTAGGGGCTTGACAAGTCTACATTCCCACCAACAGTGCAAGAGAGTTCCTTTCTCTCCACATCTTTGCCCACACTTGTTGTTTCTGGTCTTTCAGTATGGGTCATTCTCACATGTATTAAGTGGTATCTCATTGTGGTTTTGATGTGTACTTCCTTGATGAAAGCCTGTTGGCCTTCTGGGTTAAACGTATTTAATTTAAAGGATTCTTTAGGAGTATCCCTTTCAGGGTGCCCCCCGACTCACTAGGACAGAGTGACCTACCTGATGTGATGGCAAATGCTGAAGTGGGCAGGCAACTTCTGGTGCTTTGTCGAGACCGTCCAAAATGGAATAGCATTACTTCTGAGAAGTGTTCAGCTGACATCAAAATTTACAACTTCTTGGGCCTTCCTGGTGGCACAGGGGTTAAAGTCTCAGTGCTATCAAGCTATTGCCAGTCACTGAAGCATGAGTTCTATCCCCGGCCAGGGAGCTACCCACATGGTGCAGCAGACCTCTCCTGTCTCTCCCTCTGCTCCCCTCATCAGTGTATTTCATCAGTCTGCCTGTTCTGTTTCCTGCTCTGTCTCTGGTGAATCCTCTCACCCTCCGCACCTCTGGCCTGTACCCCAGTTCTTATATGCATAAACAAAAAATAAAAGGTAGTTTTTTTATGAACACAAGGGAATATGGTGATGGTTCAGGGGTGATACAGTGGCAGGAGAAATATGGGGGACTACAGTGATGTAAGAAAAAAATTTAATAATTAAAAAATAAATAAAAGGTAGCTGTTTTAGTGTGAATCTGAATGAAGAAATTTTGAAAAGAGACCCTCGCAAAAGTGTTCTTGTTAAAAGGCCAACTTAATGATTCTAAAATCCATTAGACAATGTACAGAAACTTTCTTAAAGTTAAATTAAAACCCTTCTAAAAAGGAGAAAGAATATGGAAGGAAGAATCTGAAAAAAGAAAGTTATTTGGAAAAATTCAAAGGCTCCTGGAGAGAAAGATGGAAAAAGAACAGTTATTTTTCAACATTGGATCAGATTTCAACTTGAAAAATGAAAATTATTATGACGAATGTAAAGGGACTTATGAAACTTGGAAAAACAACATGATTAACAACTTAATATTAAAGTTCAGAGAA